AATGCGCGGAGATTCCACGACCTGGGCGGGAACGACGGGGAGCCAGACGCATGAGGGGCTCGAGCGGGTCAAAGGCTCCACTGTGCCGCCTCTGGCGGCGCGATGATAGATTTGACCGCCGCTGCCAAACGCGCCCCAGGGAGGCTGAGCTTCTGGTCGGTGTTGTCTGCCCAGGAGACCTCCGAAGCAATGTTGCCAGGGTTGGGTGCGATGCGAAGGGCGGGGTCCCAGTCTGTCATGATGAAGCCGCGGTCCTGTCGAAAACCCAGCGCCTGCTTGGCGTTACAGAACTTCTCAGAAGCTGCCTGGGCTATGGATGGCAAAGACTTAACGCCTCCAGCGAGCCTGTGAGCAGCAGCAGCGTGATCAGCCAATTGGGCCGCGAAGTCCTTGACCTGGTCGGCGACGGTGGTCGTAACGTCGCTTGTAAGGTCCCGCCGGAACTCGTCGCGGTGCTCCACCATACTGACACTGACTTCGAAGGCGGCCAGGCGTCCGATGTAGGTGTCGACTCCTCATTGTCGCTCGCCATCGCCTCCTCATCAACATCACCTGCAGGCTCAGCAGCGCGAGCGCTGGCGTCCACAGGATGGTCACCAACAGTAGAGGCAGTAGGCGATTCACCTCCAGCAGGCTGGCCATTACCAAGGAGAGGAACACCAGCAGGGCCACGAACCTTCTTGCGCCTGGTGCCGCCTCCTCTTCCTCCTCCTCCTCCTCCTCTTCCTCCTCCTCCTCCTCTTCCTCCTCCTCCCCCTCCTCCTCCTCCCCCTCCTCCTCCTCCTCCTCCTCCTCCTTCTCCCCCCTCCTCCTCCTCGTTCCCATTGTCTTGCATGTGGCCTCGGGAGCGCGCGCCGAGGGCGAAGTGGCTGTGCGCGCAGCAGGGTCTGGCCGCGGACTAGCAGCATCCACGCTGCCGCTGGGTGCGTGCGACGAGAGGAGGAGGGGGAGGGGGAGGGGGAGGGGGAGGAAGAGGAGGAGGAGGAGGAGGAGGAGGAGGAGGAGGAAGAGGAGGAAGAGGAGGAAGAGGAGGAGGAGGAGGAGGAGGAGGAGGGAGGAGGAGGAGGAGGCCGCAGCAGGATGCGTGCGGCTTGAACCACATCGTCGACGGAAGGCGGAGGAGGAGGACGCGGAATAATAAGAGGAGTGCTAATGTAAACCCCAGACGCATCAACAATGTTGCATTCAACCCTGCCTCCAAGTTCCCTCTTCGTGGGTCTCTGCACGAAGGATCTTCACTGCGGGAAGACAGTCCGAGAATCCTCGATCGTGCCAAAAAGCCATTCCTGGGCCGTCGACGCCCCGAATCAACGCTATTGTTTCATCCTGGCGACCATGAACCCTCCCAGAACACCATTCTTGGGGCTTCAGCAATGACCATGATTGTTTCGCCCCATTAATCCTATATCGTGCGGGAACACCATTCTTGGGACGTCAACCAACATAATCTTTGGAACGGGTTACACTTTATGTGCGCGGCGCTGAAAGGAGAGACCCCATGTACGTAACAAAAAAACTACCCGCCATCATCCGTGAAGCTCTGCCAAGCTTTTGAGGCGAATGTGCGCGGCGCTGAAGCGAGAATACCATTTTGAAAACCACCGGCCCTCCATCCGTGAAGCTCTTGCAAGCTTTTCAGACGAATGTGCGCGGCGCTGAAGGGAGAGAACCCCTTTTTTAAAAAACAACCCGCGCTCCATATGTGAAGCTCTTGCAACTTTTCCGGCCGCATTGGCGCGGCGCTAGGGCGGGAACCACATTTTGAAAACCACCCACCCTCCATCCGTGAAGCTCTTGCGAGCAAATCAGACTAATGTGCGCGGCGCTGAAACGAGAACCGAATTTTGAAAGCTACCCGCCCTCCATCCGTGGAGTTCTTACAAGCTTTTTAGACGAATGTGCACGGCGCTACCCGCCTTCCACCCGTGAAGCTCTTGTAAACTTTTCAGATGCATGTGCGCGGCGCGCGAGAGCCACAAGCTTCAATACCATAAATGATGAGGAAGTTTCAAGCGAAACGCCCGTCCCGCCCTACCGATACGCCTCGGGGTGTGACGGGGAGGGGTTATTTATGAAGAAACGGGATGGACGAGGAGGAGCAGGAGGAGGAGGAGGAGCAGGACGAGGAGGAGAGGGAGGAGGAGAAGGAGGAGGAGGAGGAGGAGGAGGAGGAGGAGGAGGGGGACGAGGAGGAGGAGGAGGAGGAGGCGGAGAAACAAAACATAACAAGACTATCAAGATATTCGACGTAAGATAAACATGCAAACTCTCGAAAAAATGGCCCAAACCCTCGGCAACATCTTCCCGCGACATATCTTGAGATCGAGCCGTGAAAATCGCCCGCCTCGAGGTCGTGCCGAACGCATTTTTCTTTCTTGCTGTATTTTTTTTGCGATGCGTGGGCCCGAGGGCACGCGAAGACGACAAAAATCTCTCTCTGCTTGCTCCCCTGCAAGCCGGGCGGCGGCGCACCGTTCTCCCAACGCCCTGGGTCGAAGTTCGCGCTGTTTTAGTTCTCGAAGAACCGCCTCGAGGGCTTCGTGAGCTCTCCTCTCTCTTCCTTGCTTTTTGCTACTTCTCCGCGTATCCACTTCTCTGTCCCTCTCTCCCTGCCTCCCTCCCTCCTTCCCTCCCTGTCTCTACTCGCTTCTTCGCTCTCTCCCTTTGCTATTACCTGTCTGTCTGTGCTGACGGATATGGACCGCTTTCCCGCAGCGTGCTGGCTGGATACGCATGCACTTCTCGGCAAGAATGTCTGTCCGTCTCTATCTGTCTGTTTTCCTTTTGACTGGTTTAACAGGTATCAAGGTATGCTGAGATGTGTGCCACACGAACCCTTGCCAGCAGAACAGCCCTCACAACACATTTGTCTGCGCTGATGTTGACGCCGTCGATGCTGTGTCGGTAATGTGGTGGAACGCGTGGTAGCCAGGCTAAATCACATTTCCTCAAACGCGTTTGTTGTGTGCTGCTGGCCACAGCGCTGATTTCTGCCACCGGCTCGATTTGATGTCAAATCACAGCTCCCTGATGTCGGCGGAGAGGCGTAGCCCGCAGCGTGCAGGGTGGATTCGCACGCTTTGCTCCTGAAAAAATCAGTCTGTCTGTCTTTCTGTCTGTCTGTCGGCCCGCCTCCGTGTCTTTCTTTCTGTCTGTCTGTCAAGTTCGTTGCCCCATCCAGGGCTCCCGAAAGAGGGCTCCTTCATTACACTGGCTTCGGCGACGGTCGGGTCAAAGTCGGGTCTACACGTCGGTGGCTGTACCAAGCATTTTCCGATGGTGCTTTCCCATACTGGTGCAGCAAGCGCCCGATTGCCGGTGCCTCTCGCGATGGTGCTTGGCTTTGCTGAGGGTGAGGGGCAGGGGGAGCGGGGAAGGGCGAAGGCAGGAAGGGCGGTGCCGAAAACAGGGGGGCAAGAAGGACGAGACGGTAGGAAAAGAGGGGGAAAAGTACTCTGCCCAACAGAATGCATCTGATAGACTTCGTCTTTGCACGTGCTGCCCCTGTTCTGGCATCCATGCAATTCGCTGGTGCAGCGCACGTTCACTATTCCGCAAGAACACGAAAGAGAGAAGCCCGCCCGAGGAAAATATCCCTCTCTTGATTGGTCATCCAAAACGCGTCCATAAGCCCATCCTTCTGCCTCGCAAGGATGCCAGACGCGTCAACGCGAAAGTGACATACCCAAGACATGTCGCCATCATCACCCTTCTGCTTCGCATGATTCATGTACGCAGGTCAATCAGGACTTCGCTAACATTGGGCACATCCATGCGACTCCACGGCGCATGCCACATGCATGTTGCAAGATACGGACAATGGCGAAAACCAAAGCATGTGAAACAAGCACGATGACAGCCGGCGCTGCCAGCTAAACAAGCCACCAGCTTTGGCGAACCTTCCCGCGCCCTACAACGTCGACCTCATGATCTCTGTTGGGCCACCATGCTTTGATCGGGTCGGGCGAAAGGGGGGGATAGCAAAGGGGGGGGTTGAGAATCAGCTCACGTAGCTGATTTTCCCGGCGCCTCCCGGCGCCGGAGGCGGCTATGTATCGAGGAATGGGCCCCTCGGTGAGGCCGAAACCAGCTGCATGCAGCAAATTTCGTAACCCCCCCTTTCCCAATCCCCCCCTTTCGCCCGACCCGACTTTGACTAGCGACAACTCCACCAGTCCCCACACCCACAAAGGCAGTGCCTGCCTCTGCCCACGCACTTCCTTCGTGCACCCCCCGCTGCCCCGGCCTCGGCCGACGATGACCTCCGAGCCCGTGCATCTTTTTTTCTTGGCTGCTCGCCGCGCGGGCGACGCTGTGCACTGGGGCCGGGTGGTCCTTGGCCCGTGGCCCGTGAGCTGCGGCCCGCGGGGGGAGGAGAAGCAGGAGGAGGGGGAGGAGGGAGGAGGGAGGAGGGAGGAGGGAGGAGGGAGGAGGGAGGAGGGAGGAGGAGGAGGAGGAGGAGGAGGAGGAGGGGGAGGGAGGAGGAGGAGGGAGGAGGAGGAGGGGGGAGGAGGAGGTCCACCGGCGGCCCGGCGGGAGGGCGACGCGCACACGGCGCGTCGCGGAACGCACCCACGCAGGAGGGCGAGGAGGAAGCAGCGGGGCCCCTCGCGGCCCGCTTGCGAATTCCGTGGGGGCGCGGGGCGGCCGTTCCCGAACGCACCGCGCCCCTCCGACCCGACCGGGCCCCTCTCCCCAAATAACGGATTGTAAAAACAAATAGCGACATCGAACTCGCCATTTTTTTTAAATATCCTTATTTTTTTTAAAGATCTTTTATTCTTTTAAAAGGGTCTCCCCCCCTCTCCCCCCTCCCCCCCCCCCCCCCCCCCTTCCCCGAGACTGGCGGCGCCCCTAGCGGGGAAGGCAGAGGGAGCCGGCCACCTCGGAAGGCGACGAGGCCGTTCAGGAGCCCTCCTCTGCCTTCTGGGAAGCCGTGTGGGCCTCCTCCGAAGCCGCAGGGGCTTCTCAGGAGGCCTCCGCTGCATTCTGAGAAGCCCCACCGCCTTCTGAGAAGGCCTGCCCCCTCTGCCTTGCCTTCCCCCTTGGGCGCGCCGCCGACGAGAAACATAACAACATTAGCTTACAACACAGGCCGCTGCGCGCTGAACCGCCCTGGCGGCGAGCGCGAGCCAGCTCATCCCATAGCCTCCTGGGGCTCCGAGCCCCCCGGCGCGAACAGGTACGTCTGGATGGCGTGCGGTGGGATGGTGGACACGAGCGCCTGCCCGCGGTGCCTCAGCTGGAAGCCCACGGGGTTGTCTCCGCAGTTGAGCACCACCGCCGCCACCAGGCCGTCCGGCCTCTGTGCCGCGGTGGCCTGCAGGCCGTCCTCGCCGGAGCACGTGCCGTAGTCCCGCTCGTCGTCACCCTGGTACGTCACCTCTGGGCTGACGCGGGTGCGCAGGTGCTTCGACCCAGGGAGCAAGTACTTGGAGAAATGGCCGATGAAGTAGAACTGGGGGTGCCGGTAGACCCGCTTCTCGCGCGTGTCCGCCATCAGCGCCGCGTCGCAGGGGTTGTCCGAGTGGTTCGGGCCTCCGTCCTGGTCGAGGAGCAGGTTCCAGTCGATCCACCCGATGCTACCAGCATTCAGGTCCCCGAGGATGTCGTGGGCGTACCCCTCCCCGAAGCTCCAGTCGCCATGCTCTAAGTTCGTGTCTTCGTGCCACCGGTACTGCTCGTAGGTCGCCTCGCTGGCGAGGAGCAGCAGCTTAGGCCGCCTCTGCCGCACCTCTGCGACCGCGCCGAAGCTGTCGCCCGAATACCAGTGGAAGGCCATGCCGTCCAAGTACGCCGCCGCCGTCGGGTGGTCGCCCAGCGCGTCCGCCCACTCGACGAGGTGGTCCTTGTTGTGGTCATACCCGAAGATCAGCACCTCGGGGTGTGACCTGTTGAGCGCTGGGCCCAGCTGTTCTCCCAAGAAGGCGGCCTCCTCCTCGGCTGTCCACAAGCACGCCTCCCAGCGGGCGTCGTTCTCGGGTTCGTTCTGTACGGATACGGCCCACACAGGCACACCCTGCGCCTTGTACGCCGACAGCCACTTGGATATGTAATTGGCCCATGCCTCCGAGGCGCCGTCCCGCAGGCAAGGCCTGGTGGAGTGGTCCATCTGTCCATTGTTTTTCATCCAGGCCGGTGGGCTCCAGGGCGTGGCCAGCAGCCGCAGACTCCTGCCGAGCGGCTGGAGGACCTCCTGGGCAGCCGAGATGAACGGCAGGAGGGCCTCCGCGTCGTGGGTGACGTTCTCGTCGAAGTGCTTCAACTCGAAGTCGTCCTCGACGTCGTCGAAGGAGTAGTGGTCCACAGAGAAGTCGCAGCTGTTGATATGCACGCGGCCCGTGGTGTAGCCGAGGCCCTCTTCGCTGAAATAGTCCCTGATCACCTGCTTCCGCAGATCCTCTGGCAGCTTCTGGTACGTTTCTGCCGCGGCCTCGGTGAACGCGCCCCCGAAGCCCAGCAGCGTCTGCTGCTGCTCTGCTCGGCGGCGAGCGAGGGGGGGGAAGTGGGAAGGACAGGAGGCTCTCTCGGAAAGCGGCGGGACTTCTCAGGAGCCCTCGCGCCCTCTGCAAAAGGCCTCCTCTGCCTTCGGGGCAGGCTTTCGGAGCCCTCCTCGGCAGGCCGGGGGACCTCCGAGCCTCCCGAGGGGGCGCCCCGCCCCCTTCTCGCTTGCCCCCCCCCCGGGCGCGCCGCCGACCTGCGGAGATGTCGATGACCGGGCCCTGGAACTCGGAGCCCTGCCCCACGAGGCGCACGTCCGCCTGCCGCTCCCAGCGGCCGAGGTCCCGGGCGGTCTGCCACACGCGCGCCGCGCCAGCGGCAGGCCGGCCGTCGGGAGCGGCGGCGCCCTCGGCGCGCGGGTCTCTCCGCAGCAGGCCGCGGACGTGGGCGTGCTCGGCAGGCGCCTCGGGGCGCAGCCGCGGGAGGTCGTCCCGCTCGCGGTGCGCCCGGGTGACGTCCATGCTCGCCACGAGGCTCGAGCCGGCGCTGATCCCGCACAGGAAGACGCAGGCGGCGGCTATCTCTGCGCGGCGGCCCCAGAAGAACGACGGTGCAGTCGAGGGGCTGGACGGCTCGTGAGCGCCCAGCAGCGCATCCTCGTCGTCCTCGCGGGCAGCGTTGCGGCCCGCCTCGTCCCACATCGCGATCCTCCCGCCAGGCGAGCGCCCCATAGCCAGCACTGGACCTTCTGGGGCCGTCATGCTTGAACCATGCTTGAGCCAAAATGGCTACGGTTTCCAAGGCTGTGCAATCTTGTGCTGGGGGGCCGAAAAGACTGTGCAAACGGATGAGGAATAAAACAACCAGACTAGACAAGAACGGGACATGCCGCTTTTGTCCACTCGCCTCGCAAGGCGAAAAGAAGGGGGAGGATGATGACAAGGAAGCGGATGATGAGGATGATGGGGTGGATGACGAGGGGAAAGAGAGGAGGATCAGGAGCACTACAGGGAGGAAGACAAGCACAATAACGAGGAGGAAGAGGACAAGGATGATAAGCACAAGAAGAAGGATGACGGCAGTAACGACGAGGATGGGTAGGAGGACGGCAGCGTGGACGACGAGGACAGCGTGGATGAGGAGGGGGAGAGCGGGGAGGACGAGGCTCTCGAGGACAAGGAAGATGAGGAGCTGGAGTATGACAAGGCGGGAGAGGACAAGGACGACGGGGAGGACGTCTAGGATAAAAACGTCGCGAAGAGCAGCGTGGAGGACAGTTCTATACAATTAGGAAGACGGTCTGGAGGACGAGAAGGAGGGCGACAAGGTGGATAACGACGAAGAGAAGGGGCACGAGGAACACGAGATAGACGTGGCAGAAGTGGGGGTTCTTGGAACCTTGCGGGGCTACCCTGGGAGCTGCCGGTGCCGTCTGGGGCTGTCTTGAAGCATCTTGGGAGCCCCGTGAAAGCATTTGAGGGTCCTCTTGTGGGCTTCTGCAACCTTCTTGGTTTGCCTGGGCGTTTCTTGGGCTTCTTTGGGAGCTCATTTGACAATCTTGGCGCCTTCTTGGGCCGTCCTGCGGCTCTCTTAGGCTGTCTGGGGGCCTCTTGGGGTGCTCTTGGGAACATCTGGGCGCCTCTTTGGGCATCTGCGGGTTCCGTTTCGTGCCCTCCTGGGACCGCTCGGAGACCCTTCAGAAACGATGCCGAGACGACGCTAGAAAATACCCTCTCCCCGAACTCCTCCGTAGCGAGGAATATTGGAACGCCAATGTGCTGTCCATGAGTCTGGCCCTCTTAAGAGAAACCTTTGCTGACATGATCGGGACATGCGTGCTATCAAATAGCTGTGCAAGAGCGTGCAACAATATCACTACTAATCTAATCTAGGCCAGTTCCCCGAACGTTCACAGGGGACAGCTACGGACACATGGATCGTACCCGAAATAGACAGCCAAGCCGCCTCTTTGACCTTCTCAGGGTAACCCAACGGGAGCTCCAGCTTCGGCCGACACAGATGAGCGAGGAGGAGAAACGAGGAGGCGGAGGATGAACCTCAGCAAACCAATGCAACACATGTGTCCCCATACGCTTTATGCAAGTGGACCGGGAAATCATATGAAAAAGCGGGAGAACAGTTAACGTTTCAACTGAGAGCAATGTGTGAAATCGGCCCATCGAAGACAAGAGTTGTAAAAAACAAAGGATCGTCCAATGATTTGGGGCTTTCCGAAAACAGCTGACCCCCTCGAGCATTGAAACACATGTTATCAGATTCGTCCGAAGCTCAATCGTGAGTGCGTCTCGAGCGAAATTCCCTCACAGCCCTTATGCAACGTCCATCGCGCGACTCTTCGAATTAAACACGCTTCTCGTAATCCGCCTGCGAATTTCCAAGTGCGTTCTGAACACCCTTAGTAAGAGAATAAAATTACTCCGACGGAAGGACCCCACATGAGAATCCTCTGGGCGAATCTGGAAAAAAACCCTCACCGTCGTCCTCGTGGTTGGTGAGGCGTCCTGGCTGTCTCTTCTGCGTATATTTCTTCTCGGCCTGGCGCGGGCCCTCCCCCCGCCCCCTACGTTGTCCCCGACCTCGCCCTCCTTTTTTTTTCGCGCCCAGAGGAAGCGCACAGGGGTGCGTCCCAGTGGATACGTGCCGAACACGACCTAAAGAAAACGCACAGGGTGCGTCCCAGTGGGTACGTGCGGGGGCACGACCCAGAGGAAGCGCACAGGGGTGCGTCCCAGTGGATACGTGCCAGGAATAACGCTCTGGGAACACGACGACCACAAAGTGGCCTACAGTTGGCTCCGGACATTTAGAATGTGGCCCGGGAGTGGTGTTCTGGGAACACGAAGAACACGAAGTGGCCTACAGTTGGTTCCGGGCATTCAAAATGTGGCCTGGGAATGGCGTTCTGGCAGTGCGAGAGCCCGAAAGTGGCGACAGCTACAGGAATTGGATGATCCGCTCGGATTAGTAACATGATCCGCGGGCCCCATAGGGAGGGGGCTCCCGCTTGAGACTTCCTCGCAATTCATTCACAGACGAGGCCCAAGGCGTTCTGGCAGCGCGAGAGCTCGAAAATGGCGACAGTTATAAGAATTGGATGACCCGCTCGGATTAGTAACATGATCCGCGGGCCCCATAGGGAGGGGGCTCCCGCTTGAGACTTCCTCGCGATTCACTCACAAACGAGGCCCAAGGCGTTCTGGCAGCGCGCGAGCCCAAAAATGGCGCAAGTTACAGGAATTTGATGACCCGCTCGGATTAGTAACATGATCCGCGAGCCCCATAGGGAAGGGGCTCCCGCTTGAGACTTCCTCGCAAGTCACTCACAGACGAGGCCCAAGGCGTTTTGGCAGCGCGAGAGCCTAAAAGTGGCGACAGTTACAGGAATTGGATGACCCGCTCGGATTAGTAACATGATCCGCGGGCCCCATAGGGAGGGGGCTCCCGCCTGAGACTTCCTCATAATTCACTCACAGACGAGGCCCAAGGCGAGTGAGTGAGTGAGTGAGTGAGTGAGTGAGTGAGTGACTGACTGACTGGTGATGATGATGAGGATCATCACACTCTCTCACGCGCACGCTCATCATCATCATCATCATCATCATCATCATCATCATCATCATCATCATCATCATCATCATATGTGAGTGCTGATGAGTGAGTGAGTGAGTGAGTGAGTGAGTGAGTGAGTGTGTGAGGGATGATGAGTGAATGAGTGAGTGAGGAATGAGTGGTGATGATGATGGGTTCCTGTTCCTGCGCGGGGTGTCCAGAGAAAACAAGAACCCCACTTTGGATGTGGGGAACAATATAGACATGCTACTGCCAAAAACGGTCCACGATGGAGGCGCTTCCCATATCAAACTCTTCGGCAAATACTTCCTCTCATTTTCGAGGTCACATGTGTGCCGCTTCTGCTAGTGACTGCACCGTCAAAGCTATTGCAACAAACATTGATTACGCAATCCGCCACCGTGTCAGCGGCACGTTGGGGCGTGTTCGAATGCTTGCCTGTTGTATTGTAAGGAGGTGTCTGTACTGTTGCGACCACGACCCGAAAACCGTTCCCGTTGATTTTGCCGTCCAGCGCCCGTTTCTGCCTCCTGGCGGCTCCAACACAGCTAAAGACCAACCCAACACAGCTACAAGACGCCTCAAGACCATCCATATGCGGCCCAGCGAGCCTGCAAATGCTCCAAGTCGTCCCAAGAGGCGCCACGAAGCTTCCAAGAGACGTCCAAAGAGACCTCCAGCGAGGCCCGAAGAGGCGAGAAACATTGAAAACCGAAGGGAGATTATTTTTTTGTCTTCCGAGGCTTTTGGTTTTCAGATCGCCTCAGATTTGCTTCAGAGAGCCCCAAGAAACACCCAAGATGTCCCGAGTCGGCCCAAGAACTTTGTAAGTCAGCTCAATGTCCTAAAGAAGGCTCTAAGACAGTCCCAAGATCCTCTCAGTACACCCGGAGTCCAGCCCCCAGGCCGTGTTCAGTGGGCCGCGCTGAACGGACTGCACACTGGCGTCTGAATGCTCGCTTGTAGCGTCCAAAACTCTGATAGTGGAGCAGTCCAAAACCCGTGCAAAAGCCTTACGGGAGACTCTTGCAAGGACGCTTGAAAGGATGCCTGGAGAGCTTGTCAACTTGAGAAAAAGAGCTTCGCAGAAGCTCCCACAGAGTTTCGAAAGACCTCCTGAAATATTTCTGGCAAACGTATTGGGAACGAATAGGAAAACGCTTCCGGAACACGCTGCAAGTTCATGCAAATTGATGCTTGGATGCTTGACTTGGAGCCGTCGGGATGAAGCTGGTGTAGCCCTGCCTGTCGGCTTCTTTTCTTCGTGCAGTCCAGACACCCAGATAGCGGCACGGTCCAAAGCGCGTAAAAACAGCTGAGCCTCTTCGGGAAGGCTTGGCATGATCGTGGCGCCCGAGATGGGCCCGGGACCCACCAAACAGTGCCGCAGAAAGGCCCCAAGACGCCCTCAATGTGTCCCAGAGAAGCCTCTAGTCTGCTTTGATGAAGATGAAGATGAAGATGATGATGCTGATGCTGATGCTGATGATGTTGATCATGGTGGTGATGATCAGTATGAGTAGGAGAACCAGGCGAAGGATGGGGGGACCAGGAATGAAGAGGAGACAGACGCTGCGGACAAGGAAGGTGCGCTAAAGACCCGCGCCACTCCAGATAGGACGCTGACATTGAGCGAATCTTTAACTAAACCTCCTTCGTGCTGCGCTGGCTCGGAGATGGGGTTTGCTGCAAGCAGCGGGATAAGCAAGATCATGCGGATTTTCGAAGACTTGACGCATGTCTCGCATGACTGCTGTCGGCAAATATGTGCTACTCGGCCCGACGAAAATGCACCTACGATCGGACAACAGAAAGACTCTCGTGCGCTTCCGTGTGGTTGCGCCTGGTACAGCAATGACGTTCAGACAATGCGACCCGACACATACCTTTTCCAAATTAACTCCAAAACACCAAATAGAAATCCGCCGTTCACAAGTGCGCTTGTCAATCGGCACTTGCATTAGACATAGTACTCATTCCTTTGCATGATCATGTTGACTTCTACTTCGTCCCATTTGGAACTGCCATTACGACCACGTAAACAGTTTTCATTGGGCCAGCAATGCAGATACTGGACATGGAAGAACGTTGGGCCCTCGGTATAACGTTTTCTAGGGAACTGTACACATTGACGATGGCTGGCTCCGTAATGAACAACGCATGCAGCTCCGTACATTGGATTCTGAGTCATAGGCTGCACTTCTATCCGTAAGCCATGCGTTGGCCATGATCTTTTCTC